TTACTTGGAATTGGTTAAAATGGCATGATTATGAGGCCAAATAACTGGCTTGTTTTGAAAATTTATTAAATTAGTTATTTTACTTGTTGGGAGTATAAGGATGGACAAATGTAATTTAGCCTAATGGCATGTGGGGGGTAAAAATTTAACTGAAATGTTGTATTGTGCGAGTTAAAGCCAATTATAAAATATTTTTATATTAAAATTACTGATATAAAATGTGTTGGGTGGCTGTAACCCAACTATGATTGAGTTAAATTATTTAAAAAAAATTTTGGTGTTTTACAGATCGAATAACAAGAATATAAAATACCACGATGATTTAGATTTGAATTGAATATATTTCAAATAAAAATTATTAAAATTAAATGCGTGTGTTGCTAGATCATCACACCTAACATATAAATTATTAAAAGGGCAGTGTTTTTTTTATTTTTTGTTTTCTCTCTTAGTAATAATAATTTTTGCTTTTTGAGTTTAAATTTTTTTTGAACCAGGTCCTGCCACTTTTTTTAATTGAGTTATACATTGTATAAACTTGATTTACTCAACTCGATAAAAATTTAATGAATTTTGTATCTAGTTTTATTTTATGAATTAGTTGAATGATTTTATTGAGTTAGAAACATGAAAATGATAAATTTGAATAGTTGACTCATAAGTTTACCTGAATTTGCATGTAGTCTAAGTTTATGAGCAAATTAGTACGATCTTATAAATTAGAAATGTAAAAAAAAATAAAATAAACAATCAACTTAAGGATCTGACAAAAATGATTATAACATATTTTCAAACGAATCACACCTTCTAATGAGTTAGTTGATTCTCTTTAAAATTATACATCATTTTTATGCTTGCTCCTATTAATGTCTCCTTCATAAGACTTTATTACTTACACCCTCATAAAAAGATATTTTTGAAAAAACAAGATTGACTGTGCCTTGAAATTCTAAAATGCTTTATATTTTTTAACTTCTCACCTTAAAAAAATGTTTTATATTTTCAATTGAGGAAGTAATTTGGGATGGATGGAATATTCTTTCCTGTCTCTCTATATAGAGTGTTTTTAATTGAATTTTATATACCAATAAAAATTTTATTATTTAGATGAAAGTATATAAAATTACGACAACTTTCTAGCTTTACTTACAATAATGTCACAATTCATGTCATGGTTGTAAGTGATAAAATGTACAATTAATATTTCTTCCCCTTTGTGCTACAAGGGTATGATTGTTTCATCACTTAAAAATATTATGATACTCCTTATATTTAAAGATAAAATAAATTTATACAAAATAGTTTATACATGAAGACAGAGGTAGAAAAACACTTGATAGGCACTAATTGCATTTTTATGACATCACACTTATATTTAAACTCATTAACTATGAAAGAGAATGTGATGCAATTTTTTTTCATTTAAATATTGGTAAAACTGAAAGGAGAGTGCATGGAGAAAATGCACTTTAACCTTAATAATACTAACAAATAGTATTTTCAAATAAATTATAGAAAATGATCTTATAAGCAAATTAATAATGATTAAGTTCTTTCTCTATATTTTTTTGGTCAAGTAACAATATTTTTTTAAAACATTACACCATCCAAATTTAATATTTTGATATTTTATAACTTTCCATTAAAAGAAAAGAGAACGAACCTCCAAATAAATGAATAAAATTAATACTATTTTGTTGAATTTGTAACTCATTTTTTAATTTTAAAATTAAAAACCTATTGCATTATATGAAAATCAATCTACAACAAGTGAAACTTTAATCATAGATGTCCGTTTATTTGATCATTAATTGAAAAAAAAGTTATAAAAAATAATCTAAAAATTTAAGATACTTAATTAATATTAATTTTTAAAAATAATTATTTTGTGAATAAATACTAAATATTTAAATAATATTTATTAAATTTTATTTTTATAAAAATTTAAGGTGTCATATAAAAAGATATTAGAGACAAATTAATATTAAAAGACATAATATATCAACATAAAATGACAAAATTAACAAATTACTAATAGAGGAAAATTTTTCATCTTGCAAACAATAGTCTAGAAAAAATACATTATTTATTAATATAAAATATCCAACATTTTTAGAAAAAAAGTACATGAAAAAAAATTTTTTAATTCTAATACAAACTAGAAGGAGTAAATACATATCTTTTGTTTTGTTTGGATTTTTTTAAAAGAAAGTAAAGAGGGAGGAAATCAGATTCAATTGATATTTATGGAGCACAATAAATAAATGACAGGTCATGAGTTGAGGGTGGGACCATCATCGGGACTCGTACGGCCCTCATATCGGCTACGACTTCTTAACGCAGTGAGTTCAGTTCAGTTCAGTCGTGTCTCTTGCACTTTCCGTTTCCCTCCCATTTGAAATTCTGGCGGGACAATTTTTCATTTTCGTCCCTTTTTCTTCATTTTCGAATTTCCCCCAATTTCCTTCTTCCCTCTCTCCTTTTTGGCCTTTTCAATTTTAAACTCCGTCACCAAATTCAAAATTATTCATTCCAACGCAGCGCGACTGAACCCAACCAGTGTTTTGGAATTGACTACAGATGCAGTTGGCAAATTTATGATTTTATTATACACATCTCAATATAATTAATTATTAATTTTTAACACCGTTATACCGTATACACCCCCATATGTAAGCTGTTATTCCTTCTTTATATGCGTGAAAATAAAATAATTACGTGCTGTTCATAAATTATACCGAATGGTGTAAAATTATTTCTTATTTTTTGCTCATATAAAATTATATACTGTTCATTTTGGTTCATGAGTAAATTTCAAAGATTGGCCGATTGGTCCAATTCAAACAATGTGGTAGGCAATCTAGAGATTTAGTATTTGTAATTGGTTGGCCGTGGAGTAATTTCAAACTATATATATATCTTGAAATAATTACCACAATGTATTAGTCATTATTGATTTTATACAAGTAAAGAGTTCATGAAATTTTTAATTTTAAACATGTATCTACTTTTAAATAATTCGTTTAAACCTATTGTTAATATATAAGTTAAGACTGTATGGTTTGTTTGATTTATTGAATCATGTAAAATGAATGAAATGTAATGGTAAGAAATGAAATGCGATGTAGTTTTAGCTGTAATAAATTTGTTTAATATTATGTTGAGAATGTTAATTAAAAAGAAACTTTTATACTTGTTATGGTTGTATTATTGTTGTAGTTCTTTTATGTGTAGTCTCTATTAATACACATAACATGATGAGCATATATCAAGTAACATGCATTATAATATGAGATGACACTTAAACTTATCAGTAAATGAAAGTTGTATCAAAGTTATATGTAATCCAATTAAACGATTCAATCATCACAATTAATAACCCATTCTTTTCAATTTTTGTGCATCTATAATTTTCTAAAAATGTTGGATTTAAAGTTTAAATGATCCTTCCTCATTTCCTCTTTTGTCAAGTTATCTTTGTGCTTGCGGTTTGGATTATTGGATTAGTCGGCCAAAACACAAATTCATTTTTGGTCGTGTTTCTTTGCTTGATTGCTGCGAGGCTTCTATCTGCAATCCAAATGATAAAAATTTACTTTTACAAACCACTCAAGTCTCAAGACTTCAAATATTTTACACCATCCATACACTTCAAATCAAATCCACATGTCTTGACAGCTGACACAACATTCAAAGTTTATTTATTGTTGATGCAATAATTATTGCTGTTTTTGATATTTTAACGATTAATTTTTTTCCTATTATACCCTTATTATTGAACTACGTATGCATATAGTTAGATCTCATTCTCTGCCTAAATTGTTATATCAAACAACGGTATTTAATCCCATATGAATTCACACTCTACATCATTGAACGATTTTCTCAATCCATGTGTAAAAAACCTTCAATAACATATCCACTTCATTTAGTATTATATAAAATATTTTTTATAGAATCATGCCCTTCAATAAATTAGTTTATTATCTTTAAAATTAGTAAATTATGCATTCTTTTTATTAATTTAACTCTTAATCAAAGTTATTATTTAAAAAAATCTTATTACCTTGAAAGAACGGAGGTGTCTTATTTTTTTAATACAGCATTTTAAAAAATTGAAGGGAGTACTGACTTCTTAAATTATACTGTTGTTTTATGTGTTCATGGCTATTTTCTGCATCCTGATTATGCATGCATATGGGATGAGATTAACAATCTAGGGGGGAAAATTGTTAATTAGTGATGCACTTAAGCAAGTCCCACTTACTTAATCCGTGTTCAGGGCAACGAATTTTTTTTTTTAAATCCCGTGCTGAATTTTAGATCTCATGAACAACATCATTAAAAGCATTCGTAATATGGCATGAAGGAAAAACGAATTAGAGATTCTTTTTATAACAATTGCCATTGAATTAAGTACATTGGGTTTTAATAGAATTAATACCAATAACTTAAATGATACAATTAGGACCACTGTTTGCTCACTGTCTTTTATGTTTTTCCTTCAATACTAGATCCATGCTTGCAAAGATTTAGGATTAGTTATAAAAGAAAACTACTCCCTCTACATTTTAAATGTAAGCAAATTTTAACCAACAAAAAAGTTTAAGAAAATAGATAATTAATAATTAATTTCGCGGGCGAGGAAAAAGAAGGAATTAATTGAAATTTGAAAACGGGAATAAACTAAAAAAGCAAGAGAAACCCGGGGGCCAAGATGCAAAGAAAAGAGGGGGTTTGAGAAAATAAATAAATAAAGAAGGGAAATTAAGAAATGAATTGCGTCCGTATTTCGAGATTATTAAATGATTGTTAAAGAGAACGGGAAAAAGGATAAGAAAGGACAGATGAAGTCCACGTCAGGTATCTGAAACAAAGGAACATTTATCAACGGTGAGATTAGCCTCAATCCCACCACCATCCTCCTCCTCAATCATAATTCGCTGCACTACCCCAAATTCCACCACCGCTTTTATTTTCAATACCCTCCTTCTTCCGAAAACCACCAAACCTAGCCCCCCCTCTCTCTACCCTCACCCTCTCTCTCTCTCTCTCTCTCTCTCTCTCACTGTAATAACTTTTTCTCTCCACCATATTTTCGATAATTTCTTGAATCTACTTTCGATCCGTCCTCATCCGGAGCCATGGACCCTTCCTCGATCCCTCCTCCTTCGTCCACCTTTCCAGCTGCCATCTCTCTCTTCCCTGTCAACTATGCTCCTGTTCCGGCCTCCACCACCGCCACCGCGGCCGCCGTCGCACCCGTCGCGAATTCGGCTCCGGCCGTCGATTCTTCTGATGCAGTTACCACCCAGCCTGCTGCTCCGAGTTCGAACCACCCTCCCTATTCTGAGGTAAGATTGGGCGGCGGAGAGGAAAGTGCCGTGTCTCTTTTCGTTTCTGGAAGATTCTTGAAATTTTTAATTTATGTTTTTGGTTTTATTAGATGATTTATGCAGCAATTGAGGCGCTGAAGGAGAAAAATGGGTCTAGCAAGAGGGCTATTGCGAAATACATAGAGCACGCATACCCTAATCTCCCACCGACTCACCCTGCTTTGTTGACCTACCACCTTCAGCGCTTAAAGAACAATGGACTCCTTGTTATGGTCAAAAAGTCTTATAAGCTTCCTAGATCTGACGGTTCTCCGTCTACTGCGCAGAGAGGACGTGGCAGACCGCCGAAGCTGAAGCCTCAGCCGCAGGCCCAACTCCTGGCTCAGGCTCAGGGCCAGCCTCACGCTCTGGCTTCGGCTCAGCCAGAGCAGCAGCCGGAGTCTGTATCCAACGCGCCAAAAAATCTGCAAAATGCGGAGCCAGTTTGGGTTGCCCTAGGGCTTGCTGATGAGCCCACGGAAGTGAAGAAACGAGGCCCGGGCCGTCCTCGCAAGAGTGCCGTGGCAGAGGCAGTTGGTCTACCTGGAACGGCTGCTCGGAGGGGCCGTCCGCCGGGAACTGGGAGATCTAGGTTGCCAAAGAGGCCTGGCCGTCCTCCTAAGCCGAAATCTGTGATGGCAATCTCTAATGGGATAAAGCGTCGACCTGGTAGGCCGCCCAAAATCCAATCTAAGCCTACAGTTATTCCCTTCGCCGCTCCGGCCTCTGCTCCCCAAGCGCCTACTTCACTCCCCGCTCAAGAAGGAACTGTGCCGGATGCTACTGGGCCAATTCTCGCTCCTAGGCGTAGAGGACGCCCGAAGAAGTATGGAGTGCAAGCTCCTGGAGTCGCTTCTCAATCTTTTATTGGCCGTGGCCGTGGCCGTGGGCGAGGACGTGGGCGCGGTGTCTACCGTAGCTCTACTGGAAGACCTGTTGGTCGGCCTAGGAAGGTAATCGCTGCCACCTTGCTTGCTTGCATCAGAAACTTCTTTGTGAAAGCTTTGATGTTTGTACAGTCTTGTGATTTTTCAGCCTGTTTTCTTTTCTTCAGACCAAGGATTGTATTACTATTGATGCTTGTGATTGACTGAGTTTGAATTGCTTTTTAAATAGATATCTCATTTTACAATTTTCCTTTCTTGAAAATAGTTTATCAAATCTCAATGACTTTTCTACCATATGGTTTTTGGGGGGAAAGTTCAATGATTTAAAAAATGCAGCTCATTTTTATTATTATGCCAGCAGTACTTAAAAGTGAATATCTCTGTTTGATTTTTGTTGTCATATAATTTAATTGCATTCAATTTTTTTTTAAATGTCTTGTCGTTTATTTCTTATAACATAAATATAAATTTAAATAGGATGAAAGCTTACTTTTTTCCCTACACTTTTAAATACTATAGGAGCACGCTAGAAATATTTCTGATGACACGGAGAATGGAGTGCTTATATTCTGATATTTATATCTAATTAATAATTAATAACCTTATGGCATAAAGGAAACATTTAATAGGACTTGTAATATTTGTTACATTTTATTTCATTAAAGTAGTGGCTTTTCAAATGTAAAAGATGTACCTGTTCTTTGTAAATGTAAAAGTTGGAACATATTTGTTTGATGCTAAGCTTAATCTTGTCTTATCTTAATCTTTATTAATAATTAATAATTAATTATTTTAATTTATTAATGATATAGGAGCACTAAAAATATTTCTAAGATGGAGAATGTAGGACTTATATTCTGATATTTACTATATTTAGTATCTTTATGGAAAAAAAGTGAACATCATATAATACTTGTGTATTTATGCGAAATTTTGTTTTGTAAAAAACAGTGGCTTCTCATGGGAAAAAGATTAAGCTGAAAAGTTGGAACATATTTGATGAAAGCTGAACGTTGTTTTAGTTTTATTTTATCTTTCATGATTGTGTATGTGCATTCAATTTGCTGTTCTTTTAATATTTAACCACAGTGACAAAAATTTAATGTAGATATCTCTTGAAATCCTTTCGTATAAATCACGAGAGTGCTTTTTTAGGACAAATGAAGCTTGTTGGCTCACAAATGGTTGGGTTTTTCTTTTTTTAAAAGTGGACAATGATATATCTGAATTGTTGATATATTTACAACTTCGTTCTCAATGAGCGCGCGCGCACACACTCTTGTTTGGGATTACGCACAGGGCGCTGAGCAAAATATTGTTCCCTTTCTATTCGATTATGTAATATTTGGTTTAGTGTTTAATATTTGATTTATTTATTATAATTATTCAATTTTGTGGTGTTTGTATTGTATTATTTCTCTGCAGTGATATATTTAATCCTGTTTATTTTTAATGCAGGAGTCTATCCACGATTTGATTGTTTAATCTTTATTTTTTTTTCTTGAAAATGTTTGATATAAAATTTGAATCTTCTGAGGAATTTTTTTGGGAGTAATGTTGCTTTCAGATGCACAAATGTTTTGATTTTCTTCTGTAATGAAAATTGACGTTTGTGAATGATTAAAATCTTTCTAACGCAAATCCATCATTTAATCAAATTTGTTTCAATGTATTTTCTTTCATTTGTTATTTTCCGGCTCATGGTGATATAATGACCGCTGCTTTTCACCTAGCTGTTTTGTAGCTAGCTTATGTATGAAATTAGTATGTGCTTCTATATTGACATTGAATGCATTAATTTCTCTGCTATTGAAATTTGAGCAGTTTGAATAAAAGATCAAACAATACTTTCAAAAAAATTATTTGATCCCTCTCTCCTCTTTAAAAGGTTTGATAGTAAAATATAAATCTGCAGAGGATTATTTTTGGAGAAATGTGGCTGTCAGAAGCAAAGCTGTTTTGATTTTCATTTATAATTTGGGAAATTAAAAAGTGAAATTTTTGAATGATTTAAATATCTAGAATTTCTTAATCAATATTATTGTCATGCATTTTGTTTTCTGGGTTTTTGAATAGCAGAGCTCAGAAGGTAAATCTTTAACGCAACAAATGCATTGTTTAATAAAACTTGTTTCAATGTATTTTCTTTTTTGTTTTATTTTTTTGGCACATGGTCATATTGTGACCGCTGCTTTTCACCTAGCTGTTTTGTCTCCAGCTTATGTATGAAATTAATATGTGCTTCTAGAGATCGATGTTGCATGCACTACTCTCTGCTATTGAAATTTGAGCAGCTTGAATAAAAAAGATCAAACTATACTATTAAAAAAAATTATTTGATCTTCCTCCCTCTTTAAACGGTTTGATATAAAATAGAAATCTTCTGAGGATTAAAAAATGACATTTACGATTGACTCTCAAGCATCATTGTTTTGCAGTTCAGTTTTTTTTTTTTGGGAGCAGAGCTCAGGAGGTAAATCTTTATAAAGCAACAAATGTATGATTTAATCATTTATTAATGATTAATGGCTTTCAGATGCACTGATGTTTGGATTTTCTTCTCTAATGAAAATTGAAAAGTGACATTTTTGAATGATTTATCAATTTTTTTCATATTCAAAGGATACCCATAGCTTAGGGGGAAAAAAAGCTCTTCATAGTAGATTGTGCTTCACTCCTAGACTTTGACTGACCTCATTAGATTTTTTTTTAAAATTACAATTCATCATATTTTATTAAATATTTAAGGGAGTTATTTATTTTGTTATCATTATAATTGTTTGTTTAATTTTTTTTATTCACATATTGACAATGATAGGATGAGAGTGAATTTTTAAGAAATCATGCAATTTAAATTGAGATGTAAAATTATTTTCTACAAGGAACAATTAAAAAAAATTTTAAACTGATGTATAGGGATATAATAGTAAATTAGTTATTACCTCTCATCCTTTCCTAAACCAAATAAAGGAATTAAAAACCCCTCCCTTCGAACCAAACATGCACTTAAATATCTGGAATGTCTTAATCAATGTCATTGTCATGCATTTTGTTTCAGGCTTTTTGCACAGTAGAGCTCAGAAGGTAAATCTTTGTAACGCAACAAATCATTATTTAATCAATTTTTTTAAATGTATTTTCTTTTATTTTTTATTTCCAGCACGTGGTGATATAGTGACCACTGCTTTTCACCTGGCTGTTTTATCTCTAGCTTATGTATGAAGTTAGTATGTGCTCCTATATTGATGTTGCATGCACTACTTTCTGCTATTGAAATTTGAGCAGTTTGAATAAAAGATCCCCCCTTTCAAAGGACTATTTTTGGGGAAATGTGGCTATCATAAGCAAAGCTGTTTTGATTTTCATTTATAATTTGGATAATTAATAAGTGACATTTATGAGAGATTTAAATATGCGGAGTTTCTTAATCAATATTATTGTCTTGCATTTTGTTTTCTGGGTTTTTGGATAGCAGAGCTTAGAAGGCAATCTTTAACGCAACAAATGCATTGTTTAAAAAAATTTGTTTCAATGAATTTTCTTTTTTATATTTTTTGGCGCATGGTGAGATTCGCTGCTTTTCAGCTAGCTGTTTTGTCTCGAGCTTATGTATGATATTAGTATGTGTTCCTATATTGATGTTGCATGCACTGCTTTCTTCTATTGAAATTTGAGCAGTTTGAATAAAAGATCAAGCTATACTACTGAAAAAATTATTTGATCTTCTTCCTTCTTTAAAGGGTTTGATATAAAATATAAATCTTCAGAGGATTAAAAAATGACATTTATGATTGATTGAAACATCTTTGTCTTGCTTTTTTTTTTCTTTTTGGGATAGCAGAGCTTAGAAGGTAAATCTTTATAAAGCAACAAATGCATGATTTAATCATTTTTCAATATATTTTGTTTTCTTGTTTTATTTTTCAGAACATTGTCATATAGTTGGCTGGACTGCTGCATTCTGCTTAGCTGATGTAGCATGAAGTCATGAACTACTTTTTCTGGTACTGACATTTGAATAATTTGCTTATTTGGATTATCCCTTGCCCCCTTTTTTTTTGGTGTGTGGATATAGGGAACAACCCCTGTTTCTGCTGCTGCACAAAAAGCTGCTAATGAAGAGTTCAAGAGGAAACTTGAATATTTTGTAAGTTGAAACGGGTGTCTGAATGCATAATTTTTTTTTGAATTTCAAAGATGTGATCTTTCGTACCTTTTTATTGCAATTTACAGCAATCCAAAGTGAAGGAATCTCTTGCTGTGATTAAGCCTCATTTCAACCATGAAAGCCCTGTCACTGCTATTGCAGCAATTCAAGATTTAGAAATACTGGCTACCCTGGACCTTAATGCACCGTTCAATGATGATGCACAGTCAGCGCAGCAACTTCCTCAAGTGCAAGTTCAGCCACAGCCACCACCGCAGCAATCAGAACAGCCGGAGTTTCAACCACAGCAAATGCCACCACCGCAGCTGTACCAACATCAGTTGCCACAGTCTCATGTCTTTCCTCAGGCATTTCAGCAGCCACAGATTTTCCAGCAGCAACTACCGCAGCCTCAGCTTTATCAACAGCCAATGCAGCATGTACCATTGCAGTCGCAGCAGCCGCAATTGTTTCAGCCACATGCATGAGCCCTCAAGCTAGGAGTTGCGTGGCCTCAAATAATGAACACCTTGTACAACTGATTTGGAAAGGCACAGCAGGTAAAAAGATCTGTAAAGGGAGTAGGAAGTTGCTGAACTGATTTTTTATTGAGTGAAATGACTGTGTCCGTTGAAGTTTGTTGTTTGTGAACTTGTTTAGAGCCACTCTGCAGTAAAACTTAGAGTACTGATACTGATTATTCTGGTACTTAAGTAATTCTTGTTGGACTATTGTAGCTTAATTTATTCGCATCAATGCTTGTCAAACCTCATGTTTTTATTCTTCCTCCCTTTTGTTGCCGGGTTTAATTCGGGCGTTCTATTGCTTCCCCCTCCAGCATGCTTTTGTTTCTTATTGCTAATTGTGGATGATGCTTTGACTGAGATCATACTAGAAAATGAATGGGAGAATTACATTGAAATTTCACGTAAAGAAATTTACTACTACAAGTTCATCAACAGTTGGACTGAGGCCATTTTGTTGTTAATGGTTGTAGTTTAATTGTTAATGAATTTTGTAGTAATTAATTTTTTTATGTGAGACCTATATGGAATTGTCTCAAAATGAGTCTCATGACTTTGACTTCTTTTTTATTGACTAAGGCCAATCATGTATTTAATGAGTTTAATTGGACATGAAGAGATTAGCTCTTGGGCATGAAGGTGATATCTTTCTTAAGTTGAGCTGTTTAGTTTTTTGATTCTGGAAGCTATGGAAATAACTGGATTAGACTTGCTCAAACCTGGATGTTATGTGTATGTGATCATCTGGATTTGATGTATAATTGGAAGCGGCAAGCAGGTTTCCAATCCATATTTGGGGAATTGTTGTGACGGTTAACATTTCTTGTTTTGAAGTTGTCATTGCAATTTCGTCGTCCAGTATACGAGTTGTTGCAACGCGAAAATTTGCGTATGAATTCGAGCGATCTTTAGTAACAAATAATGGATTTAGTTTATATATCTAATTAAGATCAGATTGATTTTAAAAGTTCGCAGCATGTAAACATTATACATATACATTTTATAGTTTTGTAGGATTTGCCTTTTTGAAATGTAAATTATGCGTCGATTGTTAACAAATTTCATAGGCCTTTTAGTGACGTTCGTTCACGCTTAATAGCCAGTAAATGGTTTCTATTTTTCATTTAGAAAAGGGAGACAGTTTGGGCCATTGTCATAAATCCTCTGCATCTAAAACAATTCATCACATGACATCTAACCTTTAGATATTCAGTGTCTAATTGTCGAACAGAGTTGTTTCTGATTAAAAGACATGAAATAAAAAAATGTCAATGAAATCTTCATCACTCATGAATTAGCCCTGAAAAAAGCTGACATGTAAATTGAGTTGCTGATATGAGATATTCTCATGAATTAATCAATACATAAAAGCCGAATCTCATAGTCCTAGTTGAGGTATTATTAATTTTATTATCTTATAATTTCTAATTTAATCCACAGTGCCCTTTTTTAATCCACATGGCTCCCCCCCCAATCCAAGTCGACATTTTCCCCACATTATAAATCTACATGGCTGTCACATCATCACTCTGTTAGCTTTACCTGCATGATTTAGCATTGGTTAATTTTTCTCATGAGATAGATGACTGCTTACATAAGTTTATAAAACGTTAGGAATTAAATTGATGAAAATTAAACTTGAACTACTAAATTGAAAATTCCTTTAGATCTAGAGGACTATACGTTACATTATCTCTAAAAACAACTTGCATATAATTGTTAGCGAACTTGGAGAAAGAGCATGTTAGTCAATGTAATTTACTCCATCCATCTTTATATATAATATGTTTTTAATTAAATCATATAAATTAATAAAAATTGATTATCTAATTAAAAGCACAACAATTATTTTTGCCCCTAATTATTGTAAATTAAAAATAAATATTTTTTTAAAGTGAATTAATAAGAGTATTTATATTTTTCTTGCTAATTTAATAAGGGTATAAGGATCTTTTCATTAAAAAAAATGTCAAAAACCTCTTTTATTAAGGAACAAAAAATGTTTTAAAAGACTTTTTATATATAAGGACGGAGAGAATATACTTTTTGTAGTCTAGCTCTAGTTGTTTGTTTCTGTCAAACTTCAAAAAAAAAAAAAAAAAGCGTTGGTATAGCAGAATTCTTTTGTCTATAATACCACCGATCCAAGGCAATGGTTATAGAAATAAGGTCAGGAAAAAAAATCTCTTTTTCTTTCATGCATGCAAATAAAATGGAGAATGACAACAAAGTCTAAAATTTTGGAATTTATAACAGTTTGACAAAATTTTCTAAAAAATTAGTGGTAAATATTGACTCAACAAGTTACAAATAGAAATTCAAACTATGTGAGTTATATTTAAAATTTAAATATTTTATTTATAATTAAAACTCTTAAATTTATAAATATTTGAATTAATATTTAAAATTAATTTTTCAAATAATTTTATCAACAACTTCACTATCATAAATTTACTGTTTTAGAATTTTAATATCAGCCTTTCAAAGTGAAAAGCTTTAAATGGGAAGGGACGAAGGAAGCAGGGGAGGGAGCAGTGAGTGCGGGTATTGGTGGGCCCCATCTGATAGGGCAACCGCTTCTTCATATGCTTTTAATTCTTTTCTCCTCAGATAATTATATATTACTCTTTCAATTTTATTTATAAATTATTTTTATCAATCTAATCAATATCAATACAATAAAAATATAAAAAATAATTATAAATAAAATTTTAAAACTGACCCTCAGATAAAAAAATAATTAAATCAATACAATATTATTTTTATGTATTTTTTCTCATACTTTATAAAAAATTAGTCTCTCTACAATAAAAAAGGTATTGTCAATTTTTTTTACAGTAAAGGTTTTTTTGAAAACTCCATTTTAAAATACAGAGTCATCACTATTGAATGATTAATATTATAAACCATATTTTTTTTTAAAATGTGACCAACATAGTGGAACAGGGGGAGTACTATTTTCAAATTACACAATAAATCACTTTCTAAAAATATTTTTAATTTAAAATATAATATATTTAATATATTTTATATTTTTTACTATTTATATTCTTACTTTTTTAATATTTTTTTTATTTTTAAATACTTCATACTTAAAAATCATACACGTATTATTAAGAAAACTTAAGAGTATAAGTGTAAAGACGTAAACATTTTTTGAAAAAATAAAATTTCAACTAATTTTTTTTTTGTAAAATGTGAATTAATTATTAATGATATATATTATGATATGGGGAAGTATTAAGTGAATATATAGTTTTCACAATCCAAGTCTAAAAGTGTGCCATGTACTTTGATTTTATTTTGTTGCCCTCAGTGATTTTTATAGGACCATAGGTTGGCATCGATGATATAAATTTCAGTTTCATATATTTAATTCTGTTAATTCAGTTTTAAAAATTAATAATTCTTCGGTCGATGCCAGAGTTCAGGCAAATATCAGTGGTGAGAATTTTTTTTTTAAAATATGAACAATGTGGTAATTTCTTGAAAATTTAGCTAGAAAAGGAACTCGAAACTTTAAAATAATTACCCAAAATTGCGGTCTCTTTTTATCATTTGTCTATTTGAAAATTTTTGGGTTCATTCTCCCATCAAACTATAGATAATATATTTTAAATAAATAATAAAATTTTTAGTCCCTCAAATTTATCTTAATTATTAATTTGGTCCATTGAGCTTAATTTTTATCAATTTGATTCACTAACTTTACCTTGGATATTGATTTGATATTTATGTTTAAAAAGGAAGTGACATTGTTAAAATATGTTGACATGGATGAAAGAATATTGATGACAACCATGTATATTAATAAAAAAAATTATAATTACTTAGATAGGAAAAGAACAAAGAAAGAAATTTTGAATAACAAATGAACAAATTAATATGCAGCATAAGTGATTAAATTGATAAAACATAAATTAATTTGATAGATAATTTAATCTCATTTAACTCACACTTGATAAGTCGTTAACATAGTTTAAGTAAAATACCCTCACCACCCTTCTATATTGCATTAATTACACAAATGCCCCTTTATTTTTAAAATATATAATTTAGTTTAATCCGTTAACTCTATTAAGAATATTTTATAATTTTATTTTTAAATTAAATTTTATATTAAAAAAATTTTATTTTCTAATTTACCCCTCACCCTAATGAATCCTAAATTATATTAATTTAAATAGTTAGATAATTTCATTGTAAAATGCATGTTTACAAATTTTAAGTTTAAATCATTTATCTAATCTCTTGAACTTAAATCATTTTATATTAAACAAAAATATGTGTTTAGAATATGTTTTTAGCAATTTTAAAAAACATAAACAAATAAGTTTAAATAAATTTGAATAAAATTAAAATTTTATAATGTGATAAAAATTTATAAATTTTATAATATAATAAAAATTTCAAAATACATTTATTATATTTTTTTAGTTATGTAGAAAAAAATATTGCTTTGGAAAATATAGATTTTTAGATAATTCTTATGCTAAAGAGGATATTTTGGTCAAATTAAAAGTTTAAATGTCAAATTTAATGGGCAACGAACAGTTTGATGGATGAAAATATCATTTCAAATATATAATAGAGGTTTATGTAATATACATTTTAATTTTAAAAAAAATTTATATAAATTTTCAAAATAAAGGGAATGTTTGTGTGATTAATGCATAATAGAAGGGTGATAAATGTATTTTACTTATAGTATGTTTTATACATTAGATTTTGAGAGTCAATTTGTATCTCAAAACTTTTAGGATAGTAAGAGATCAAATCAATAAAAATTAAACTTAAAATGACCAAATTAATAAATGACGCAAACTGGAGGAACTTAAAAGTTTCATTATTTATATATTTTTTGTTTCAAATCTTTAAGATTAGAGGAAATAATCTCTTTAGCAGCTTTTACTCCCGTCACCAAGCCAATACATATTTTGATGCAAATTCAAGTAAGGTTTTCAAATAGAACTGGTCATTGAATCAGGCTATGAATTAGTTCACAGTTCAATGGTTGAATAGTGATTGAACACTGATCAATATTAAATTAATATATTTTTAATTTATGTCCCACAATCAAAAAAGATATACATGTAAATATATATTTTTTAAGAAAATGTTGCAAATAATTAGTAATACATTATATTGTTAATGAATACATGATTAATATTAATCTTGAATAAAGCCTTTCCATTTTGAAATTCAGAAAGATGTTGATAAAGTGATAAAAAAAGAACCGCCCT